GCAATCATAATTCCTTCACCCTTTTCACAGGAACTAGTGAGCAGAATGACTTCATACGGAAACGAAGTTCCCAATAACAATAGCAAAATCAATAAAACGAAAAATGGGAATTATCCTGTTCCTGTTCTGTTGAGGGCCCCTGGCAGATTTCCAGCAAATTTGTATATCTGATTACCAAAAAGAAAAGTGACAACAATACAATGAAAATAAAATTTGTAATACAGACTGTTGTCTTTTACAGGTACCACCTGCCTCATATCATTTGGTCAGTAGATTAACTGTGATGTGATGCAACATGTGAGCACTTTTCAGATCTGTCAGACATTTACATCCTACTTGCTGATACTTTGGATTTTTCAAAATGTTTTTAGAAATTTCTGAAGAGAATGGCTTCATTTTTTGGTCAGCAGCAAAACTGTGATAAGTTATAACTTGAGAGCACTTTATTGATACTTCCTGATTGCAAATATTTTGAATTTTTCAAAATGTTACATGAAAACTAATATTTTAGTCTCATTTTTCTCAGAAACTGAAAAAAAGAATGACTTTATATTTGTCAGCAGCTTGACTGTGATAAGATTTAACATCAGAGCAATTATCAGAAATGTCAGGAATCAACTTTCTGTTCCCTCATACTTTGAATTTTGAGGTAGGGTATGCTTAGTGAGAAAACCCATGCATGATTCTTGTCTGTCCAACAGTAACATATTCCTGTACTATGATCTAGGAATTCAACATTAGGATATCACCCAGAGACTAATCAAATTTAAACATGACAGAATTACTATTGCAGATAAAAATTTCAAATGTGAATACAGCAGTTTATTGTTGGTTAAATGGTGAGGAGGACTAGCTGACATTTTCATCATAACCATGTTATTTGACTACAATTCAATGTTTTATTACAAGATCTGTCTTCTATCTAACATATTCCGAGATTTGATAATATCATTTCCATTTTCCCTATTTCACAGCAGCCAGACCCAGACAACAAATAAATTGTTTAATAACTTCTCCTATGTAATCAGACATCTTGAAGATGTATTACCTTTCAGACAAGACTGAATGATCCTTGAAATATTCATTCAATATTTATGTTTTACATTCCGACAATATGAAAAAAGCTATTGACCGCTATGTGAACTCGCCTGGCTTGTTATCGTGTCCTTAAATATGCAACCCATTACATGGGGATTAATCATAGACCTGTTTATACCTCCATAAGACATTAATACAATAAAATGTGGTAATTTTCTCTTTATCACTCACCTATGTCTCTTGAGCTTAAAACACATTAAAGCAGAATTATTTTATTTGATTATTACCTAACATTTTAAACATCTTGTGTCCATTTAGTTAAGTAAACACAGAAAATTAGAATTTACATAGAATTTCCATTCAAATAGGATTACTATGGGCTTTGAGAACTTTTCAGGTGATGACATTTTTTTCAGGAAAAAAAAACCAGCAAAATATATTTTTTGCAAATTCTTGAGCCAAACCTAAACTCAAACACCTAAATACCTTTCCTCTTAAGTTTCTGAATACTCTGCAAATTTAATGAGATCAATTATTATTTTATTTGAATAATTTCCCTATTTCAATGTGTAATACATTATTTATGCAAAATTCCTGTTATACACATGTACATTAGTTTGTAAAAGAATTATTATTGTATTCCCTCAGTAATACATGCATGGTAATAATATATTAACATGACATGAGTTCAGATCATGATGTTGATTTCAATGGGATGTCTTCACTCAGACTGGCAATAAATTTGTCTAAATTAAATTGAATGATAAAAAGAAAGAAGTTCATCTCCACAAGTAAAATGATATATATCAAATGAAAGATGCATTAGAACCAAGACATGAAATAATAGGCATCTCATGTGCTGGATACCAGGTAGGCATCTCATGTGCTGGATACCAGGTAGGCATCTCATGTGCTGGATACCAGGTAAAGTCTTCTACTATTTAAATTCTTTATCAACCTAGTTATGTAATGTTTAAAATGTTGGCACTGTAATTTATTGGACTTATAAATAAACAAATTATATAACTCAGAGATATTTTTGTTTAAATATGTAATGAGTATTCATCATTCTTTTATAATGTCTTTTTCTTTAGGAACTTAAAAGTGAATCTTCAATGGAAGAGAAGAGAAGCCGCCTGCAAGAGGTATTCAATAAATACCACACTTAAACAAATGTTATCCAATATTAACTGAATTGAAAAATCCCTAAGCAAAACCCTAGAAATTCAGAATGATCAAATTAAAATAGTATATATAGTGCAAGTTTTATATGGTTTCAGTCAAATGGTGCAGGATAAAGTGCACATTATTCTGCAAAATACTTTTTTACCTTGGCAAATGTATAGGGTTATTGAGTAATTCCATATACCCAATATGTGGATTATTTACAGTTGGACAGGGCCAAAACATATGCTTCCAGCCCACTCCCCAAATCAAACTTTTCACCTAAGTTCATACAAATAGAACCAAACAAACTAGAAGCACAAAGGAGACTGAATTGCTCACCTGGACATTTCATTTGTTTGATATATGTTTGCAAGTTTTCAAGAGATGTCAATTAATGATTTATTCTTTCTAATCTTTTTTGCTATTTAAAGTTTCTCTCATCTTTATCTATTATAGATTTCAAGATAAAAGCAAAAAATGCCAAAAATTAGTAAAAGTCATCTTTCAGGGGCAAATTACTCCTATATTTTCGGTCAAAATAAACAAAATGTAGATTTTGACATTCTAAACATTTCTCTACCTCTATTGGTTTTAAAGATGTAAGATAATAACTTGCATTTTACCATTTTGTACTATTTTTAGGGGTTGTGGCTGTGTTGGTTGGCAAGCAGTATCATGACATGGGACACATTTTTAAATTGGATAACCTAAGCATCATTTGGGGCCAAGGTTAGATTCAATTGGACAAGTAGGTTCAGAAAAGACGATTTTTGTAAAAGTTAATGAACAAGCATGATAGACCCCAAATGAGGGCAACAGCTCACCCTGGACCTTTGCTCAGGTGAGCTGAAATGAGCATTATAACAATGTACATAACCTGGTAGAGTTAACATTTTACTTTGGAAAACTTGCTCGTTTTTCAGATTTTTTCCCTTTCTTTTTATATCTGGAAGGATCTTCTGATATCGTAGTTGCAATTGTTTACCAACAGTTTTTTTCTGACGTAAGTTAACAAGTGCATAAGAATTTGGCATTCCATATGTTGTCTGTAGTTATAAGCGGATCTTTGTTTTCGTTTTACCTGTTTATTCAGATAGAATTACACCAGCCTTTCCTTGCTGAATGTTCTCATTAAATGTTTTTTAAACTTAAACAGAAGGCTAATGCTAATAAATCGGATATTGTAAATTTGACGCTGGCATTCCTTTATAAAATTTGGGGTACAACAAAAGGCAAGAAAGAATTATTCTACCAAAAGCAACTATTTTCTGTAAAACTTAAACTTAAAACATTATCTAATTGAGCAAAAAAATTGACAAAATCAATTTCTTTTTTTTTCAAAAAAAACTTTTTTTTTTTTTTTGCTGCTGTAGGACATTTAATCTGCCCTTCAATAATGCGGTTTTTTAAAACTGTCAGTATAGGCAAATGGTGAAATGCATTAGTCAATTGCTGGTACATTGTATGACACAGCTAAATCAGTGCTGGGAAAAAGTCAAACTGAAAGTCCTATATTTCACAAGAGTGGCGTGAAGATGTATAATGTATTTTTTCACACAAGTGCACTTGTCACTAACGCAAACAGTGCAAACTATAACACGCATATACATTAAATGCATTTGTTTCTAGCAATAACCTGTCAACTTTGTCTAAGTTTACAGGGTCATTAAGGGATGTTTGTATCAGACACTTCAGTGTTGAACAAACTATATGAAGTGCAGATAAAGTTGTGGTTAGACAGAAATGCACCAGCATTCCCTTTGATATCGATACTGTCCCTGTTACATGTATGTACAGTGGTATCGCTAACTTTAGATCACTTTAAGTATGTGCATCCTGTACAGACGTCAGAAGTACCAACGATTTCATGACTTTGATATCAATATTGTCCCTGTTACATGTATGTACAGTGGTATCGCCAATTTTAGATCACTTTAAGTACGCGCATCCTGTACAGACGTCAAATGTAACAACGATTTCATGAACAGTATGTCTACAATAGTAGGTAAATGGTGGTATGATATTCAGAGCGGTACAATCACAAAGAGGTTCAAATTTCCAAGATTTCTGAGGGACAGTAGTCCTAGTTTGTATCATTCATGCTCAATGCTGAAATTCAGTAGATTCAACAGTCTCTTTTAAAAACAGAATATTTCTTTTTATCAGGCCAGAATTTCAAAACAAAAATTACAACAAACTGATTTTCAAAATGAGGAAACTTACAGGTGAGACATCAATTTCTATCAAAATCATATCTACAATGTATTAAATATTCCATACAGATGTATAAAGGAGAAGTGGGTTATACTTCAATGAGACAGCTGTCAGCAACCCAATGACAACAGAAATGAATCAACACATGAGCTTTAAATTGTTGTCAAGAACATTTGTGAATTTGTTTACCAGAATATATCACAGATCACATATCAACACAAATTAACCAAAGAAACAAAAACCATTCAGGTATAATGACAACCAAGGTTCCCCATTACTTGGGGCAGTCATATGTACTCCCTGGTACTGACTGTAACTTTAGCATTAATGTTATGCTGGTGTCACCTAAGGACCTGGTTTTACTTTAAGGATCAACTCTACCTACTTTACTAGGGTATGCATGGAACTAACAGTCTTTATACAACCCCCTTTTTTACATGACTTGAAAATCCATATGACTAATAGTTTTTGATACAACCCTGTTTAAGTTCCTTAATTACAACTATGCCAAGAGTTTTTACAAAGACCTGGCTTAATCAAGTATGGCTATGTAACATCTACTACAGATCCTTTATACTTACGAGTAGAAGGAGAAGCACCTAGACTTTGTACATCATTTAATGACGGGGCACTTGTTGTTTGACAGACTAGGGAGTCTAAACACTTGGACTCATCACAGTAAATCTCACACTCATCTGAAATGAATAGCAAATGAAAACATGAGGACTGTAAAGACAACAAAATTAACATCCATATTCATGGAACAACTTAAGTTTTCATATTATTTTATTAGTTATTCTCATATATACAAGCATGTAAACTTTTTTTCCTAAGAAATTGGTAGCTGACTGAATACTTATACTGCATGATTTTATCCCTCCTGTTTTCTGTCAATTATAAAAGGTATGAATAATAAAAAATTAGCAATTTGCTGAAAAATTTAAGGAAGGCATATATATATACATTGTATATTTTATTTATTTCACTTTTGGATAAAACTTGTCAATCATTGCCCATATGGAACCATATCATGCTACTAATACTGTCATAAAATATCAGGTCAAACATTCATGATGTCTGGCAATTGCGATGTTATATTGAAAGTCCACTGATGGTTGTAGGCCAATATGGGGATGTCATGTATGACTATAAGCAATTTAAGGAATAGTACTGTAAAGTCACAAATTATTGCAAGGTTTTTATTAATGCGAATATTGTGACTTTTTGAGTATCGCAATAATTAGAACTCGCAATTTTTTATATCTGATACATAATTACTTGCGTTTTTGTTCATTCTTAAAAAATCACAATTATAAATGCACGCAATAATTTCTGAATTTACAGTACTTAGAAGTGGGCTCATGCTTAGATAGAAAAGGTTAATGATTTTCAAGTCTTGCAAACTGTAAATTTATGCACTTTGTCCAAATTTTTTGCATTTCAGATGATCCTCTTTATCAAAAACTTTGCAACATTCCATGTCCACTAAAAATGTCAACAGTCAACAAATCTTTATGCAGCAACTGACTACAGGGTAAAACAGGGTCCATAGAATCAGTCAGCACCTCACCGTATATAAGCATGGACACAACATATTCCTTTATTCTCCTGTATGTCACTAAATAATTAATGAAATATGGTCATAAAAAAAAGCTTTATTTATTTGTTACTTTGACTCTTACAAAAATTTAGTGAGTACCAGAACATCTTTATCTATGATGAGTTTATTTACAACCACTGGTGGAGTTTTTATTCCCCGAGGGTATCACTAGCCCAGTAGTCAGCACTTCTGTGTTGACATGAATTATCATTGATATGGTCATAATTATAAATTAACTGTTTACAAAACTTTGAATTTTTGAAATACTGGGGCTTTTCTACCTCAGGAATAGATTACCTTGGCTGTATTTTGCAAAACTTTTAGGAATTTTTTGTCCTATGCTCTTCAACTTCGTACTTTATTTGTCCTTTTTAACTTTTTTTGATTCGAGCGTCACTGGTGGGTCTTTTGTGGACGAGGTGCGCGTCTGGCACAAATACAAAATTTCAATCCTGTTATCTATGATGAGTTTATCTTTACCTGATGTTGTTTTATATATATGTACCTTAACTTAATTTTTTTAATTTGTTTTTAATTGCTAAACTTGTGATCTTCATTGATATATAAAATAATCTAATTAATCATGATCAACAACCAATGAATATGTATGGGTATGGAAATTTAAAAGATATGTACTAAGTGACCTAACTTATTCTGATAAAAGTTTATACAGTGCAGCCAAAATATAAATTTTACATCATTGATGGCTGCAAATGAAAAAAGTCCATGGATGAGTTACCTAAATTAATTTCTCTTCAAAGTAACAATCCAAAGTCTGGGTTTAAGTCTGCCTACCAACAGATCACTTATAACACTGAATATTTCCGCTGTCATTATATAGGTATAAACTCTTTAGCACAAGGTCAGCAAGATTTCAGCCAAGAAGCTATAATCCTTCCAACTCCTCAAATGATTTTCAAGTTCTTAGATCTAATAGAAATGTCAACCCCACTCTGATGTTATCAGTACACAAAAAAGTCAGAAGATATCAGGGTGGCAAGCAAAAACCATATGTAATCAAAGTTTTATTGACTGATGTTTGCTTAACATCCAGTGGCTTTTCTCTCTTGATTTTTTAAAAATTCTATAAGCGAAAGTTCTTTGAAAAAAAATTGACAGTATGTTCTTAAATTACCATTCTGAATACACCAGTTGATAGTTCTGAAGAAAATCCAGATAGTGCTGAAATTATATAACTCATGACAACAAATCTAGTGTAAGAAACATAAGTGAATTTGACTTTATCATAGTTTGTATTGTCACTTTGTCATACAACTCAGAAGTGTTATCTCCTCAGAACACTGCAGATACTTCACAATTTTATCAGATTCTGAGATTCTCTCAACTCATTTTTTGGAATAAAGTTGGGTTCTAAACAGTAATTTAGAAGGATACAAGAACTGTAGTTATAGCTTGCTATGCTGTATGGGTTTTGCTCATTGTTGAAGGCTGTATGATGACCTATAGTTGTTAACATTTTTGTCATTTGGTCTCTGGTAGAGATTTGTCTCATTGGCAATCATACCACATCTTCTTATTTTTATATGTGTACTACTGCTTCTTAATGAAAGGCTCCAGGATAAGAGAACTTTGTACTACTGCCTCTTAATGAAAGGCTCCAAGTCTATAATTTGGTGTACTACTGCCTCTTAATGAAAGGCTCCCATACCTGCCAACATTTCAAAATGCACATGGGGGTTTAACATGTAAGATGGCTCTCATTATCCCACAAAACCTTTAAAGGGGCCTTCAAATTTATTTTAATGATGTTTATTTGCTTCTTCATACTTTTAAAATCATATACAAATGGTAAAATTGATTTTTTTGTTTTAAATTGTGGACAAAATTGCTCTTTTAAAATTTCCAATTGGGAGCCTCCATGGGGGAAATCCCCCACAAATAGTGACAGTTGGCAGGTATGGGCTCCAAGTTTATAATTTGGTGTACTACTGCTTCTTAATGAAAGGCTCCAATTCTATAATTTGGTGTACTACTGCCTCTTAATGAAAGGCTCCAAGATAAGAGAACTGTGTACTACTGCTTCTTAATGAAAGGCTCCAGGATAAGAGAACTGTGTACTACTGCCTCTTAATGGCAATCATACCACATCTTCTTATTTTTATATGTGTACTACTGCTTCTTAATGAAAGGCTCCAGGATAAGAGAACTTTGTACTACTGCCTCTTAATGAAAGGCTCCAAGTCTATAATTTGGTGTACTACTGCCTCTTAATGAAAGGCTCCCATACCTGCCAACATTTCAAAATGCACATGGGGGTTTAGCATGTAAGATGGCTCTCATTATCCCACAAAACCTTTAAAGGGGCCTTCAAATTTATTTTAATGATGTTTATTTGCTTCTTCATACTTTTAAAATCATATACCAATGGTAAAATTGATTGTTTTGTTTTAAATTGTGGACAAAATTGCTCTTTTAAAATTTCCAATTGGGAGCCTCCATAGGGGAAATCCCCCACAAATAGTGACAGTTGGCAGGTATGGGCTCCAAGTTTATAATTTGGTGTACTACTGCTTCTTAATGAAAGGCTCCAGGATAAGAGAACTGTGTACTACTACCTCTTAATGAAAGGCTCCAATTCTATAATTTGGTGTACTACTGCCTCTTAATGAAAGGCTCCAAGATAACAGAACTGTGTACTACTGCTTCTTAATGAAAGGCTCCAGGATAAGAGAACTGTGTACTACTGCCTCTTAATGAAAGGCTCCGAGTCTATAATTTGGTGTACTACTGCCTCTTAATGAAAGGCTCCCAGTCTATAATTTGGTGTACTACTACCTCTTAATGAAAAGCTTCAGATCTATAATTTGGTGTACTACTGCTTCTTAATGAAAGGCTCCAAGTCTATAATTTGGTATACTGCCTCTTAATGAATGCTCCAAGTATATAATTTGATGTACTACTACATCTTAATGAAAGGCTCCTATTCTATAATTTGGTGTACTACTGCCTCTTAATGAAAGGCTCCAAGTTTATTATTTGGTGTACTACTGCCTCTTAGTCATGAAAGGCTCCAAGTCTATAACTTGGTGTACTACTACATCTAAATGAAAGTCTCCAAGTCTATAATTGGGTATACTACTACCTCTTGATGAATGCTCCAAGTCTATAATTTGGTGTACTACTATACTGCCTCTTAATGAAAGGCTCCAAATCTATAATTAGGATTTTCATTGTTTTTTTTAATATTTGATATACTGCAGAACATCCATTTTGAAATTAAAAACTGACATCCCTACAATGACTTCAATTTTCAAGATTGAAAAAATTAGGTAGCATAAAGGAGAGATAATTTTGACGAAGTAGAAACCTAACTGTTATATGCATATCCAACTTTAAAAAAAATAATGATAAAATTTTCAATTATGTAGTATAGAAATTTTGGATACAATGCTTTGTAGTCTGTTACTGACATAGTTAACTTTTTTGATAAAATCCTACAAAATCAACATATGTTACATTGTATGCCAGGTGTAGATGCAATAACTCATTTGAAATTGAAACTTAAAAAAGAAAATCATTTTATCTCTCATGATATTTGCACACGATTTCGGTACCAAAGTCAAAGTTAAACCAAAAAATTACCAATATCTTGTCAGAAAATTCAAAACCTTTTACAACATAAAACTTATCAGTGAAAAACATATCAAATCTTTCTTTATAATTTTCTCTGCATAGAAAGATAATCTGAAAACTCATAAATTTGTGCAGAGAATGATCTTATGAAATCTTGATTATGACAAGAAACACATAATGACTATCTATTTCCTTTTAGGTAATATCGGGGAGAAAATAATTATGTTGTTAATGGGACTGCACTGTTATTACGGACACAGATGAAAATATAATTGCTGAAAAAATTTCCTTCTTGACAGTGATATATTATATAAAACTCTTCCAATTATGTAATATCATTATCAGTGTTCTTAGACTCAATGATATGACATAAGGTGTGTGAGAAAAAATAGTCGTAGCCAATCTTTGAACATGTTAATGGTAATCAGGAAATAATGAGAACCTTTTGATATAGTCCTGAAAACTTTCCTTTAAGGATTCTGGTTTCCTAGGCATTTTAATCATGGCTTTTCTTAGCAAAATAATATTAACTCTTTTGTACAATTCTACAGCCCATATGATAGAAATTTGATTTTCTTGGTACTCTTTTTGTGATAATCGGGAATGTGCCAGTAAATTGACCAATGAACCATGAAAATGAGGTCATGGTCATATGATACATGCCAGACAGGCAGTCTGGCATGTACACCTTACAAGTAATACATGCACCAAATATGATTGACCTATTGCTTATAGTACCTGTATATAAGAAACAGACTTAAAACCATTAGGAAGGCAGGGGTAATCTATAATATAAGTCTAATTCAGGTTTCAGACAGGGTATAGAATGTGACATTCCTGTCTGAGAGTTTATATTCCCTTCCGGGAAAGAATATAAATCCTAAGTCAGGAATCTGATGTTCAGTAGTTGTCGTTTGTTGATGTGGTTCATAAGTGTTTCTCGTTTTTTATATAGATTAGACCGTTGGTTTTCCCGTTTGAATGGTTTTACACTAGTAATTTTTTGGGCCCTTTATGGCTTACTGTTCGGTGTGAGCCAAGGCTCTGTGTTGAAGACCGTACTGTGACCTATAATGGTTTACTTTTATAAATTTTGACTTGGATGGAGAGTTGTCTCATTGGCACTCATACCACATCTTCTTATATCTATTAACCAGGAAAACATTGACAAATGAACATTCAAAATGTGGTCAAGGTCAGATAAACCCTTCCAGACAGACATATACACCTTACAATCATTCCATACAACAAATATAGTTGACCTACTGCTAATAGTTTCTGAGTTACCGACTTGAACACACAAACTTAAACATTGATTACTGGTCCATGAAATGAGGCTGAGGTCAGGTAAACCCTGTCTGATGGACATATAGACCTTGCAATGATCCCACATACCAAATATAGTTATCCTATTACTCATAATAAGTGAAAATTCACATGCCAGTGAAAAACATAACACAAATAAATGGAGAATGTGTCCCCATGGACACAGATGATGCCCCCGCTTGCATACAACATTATAAAGGGACATAACTCAAGAACAATAAAAGTGACGCTACCCAAATTTGTACTTGATCTGAGTTTTGTGGTAATAAGTATTGTGTAAAGGTTTCATAATGTTTGGTTGGGGCAAACTTAAGTTACAGAACAGAAACTAAAAATTTTGCAATTTTTCGATTTATAAAGGGGCATAACTCGATAATGATTAAAGTGACGCCACCAAAATTCAATTTGATCTGTGTTCTGTGGTAAAAAGCATTGTGTATAAGTTTCATAACATTTGGTTGAGGCAACTTAAGTTAGAGAACGGAAACTAAAAATTTTGCATTTTTTTTCCATTTATAAAGGGGCATAACTCAAGAATGGTTAAAGTGACCCCACCAAAATTCAAACTTGATCTGTGTTTTGTGGTAATAAGCATTGTGTTTAAGTTTCATAACATTTGGTTGAGGCAAACTTAAGTTAGAAAAAGGAAACTAAAAATTTTGTAATTTTTCCATTTATAAAGGGGCATAACTCTAGAACAGTTAGAGTGACACTACCAAAATTCAAACTTGATCTGTATTTTGTGGTAATAAGCAATGTGTATAAGTTTCATAAAATTTGGTTGAGGCAAACTCAAGTTAGAGAACGGAAACCAATTTTGGGACGTACTGACGTATGTACGTACAGACGGACAAGGGTAAAACTTAATGCCCCCTCCGCTACGGCCGGGGAATAAAAACAGAAACATTTACTGGTACTGAATATCTATACTGCATGGTGAATGTTCAACAAATACCTGGTACATGAAAAACCATTAGGAAGCAGGGGTAATCTATAATATAAGTTTAATTCAGGTTTCAGACAGGGTATAGAATGCGACATTCCTGACTGAGTGTTTATATTCCCTTCCGGGAAAGAATATAAATCCTCAGTCGGGAATTTAACATTATATACCCCGTCTAAGACCTGAATAACATATATAATATATCTGTTTCATGCCATTCATTAATATAATTTAACTTGGTACTTACTACTTTTTTGAAAGTCTATATCTAATTTAAATCCACTCCTTGCATTCTTCACCCAAACAAAAATAATTTTCACAAAGTTTGACTTGTAATGAAAGACTTGTGGTAGTTTGTAATCGTAATTACAAATAGTTCTACTTTTAATTTCTATTCCTTTTAACGTTCTTTCCTTAATTATTAACTCAGGGGGGAGACAGTTTTTCCCCTCCTGAACAGTGTCTGACCGAGTCAATTCCTCGGCAGGAGTAAAAGACGTGGAACTCTGAAGAGTTTTAAATCCAACGAGATCAGTGAAATTGAGTTGAATAATATAACTATTTTTTGGTGCTGTTATTACATATTCACATTTTCTTTCATATCCTTTTTGTTGATAATCTGATGATATAGCGTTGATCTTATCTTTCTTGGAGTATGTGAAACTGCACACTGCTGCAAAAGAGAGACAAAACAATGTTATTACATAGGTAATGGTTTTGTTGTAATAGACAAAACAAAATATCTGTCTACAGTTTCATGAAAATTAATGGTTGTCAAATATAAATGAACCCTGAATAGAATCTTAGTGTGCACCTGACGTCTGCCACGTTTTGCACTAATTGACCTCTCTTCGCAATGCTGCAATCAACAAAGAATTACTTGGAAGACTTCTCTTAACAGAAAATACCTTCCTTTACACAACTAAGAAAGTATTTAACATTTTCTCTTTTGATGTAATACGATTTGTCCCCTAATTTTTAAAAGAAACAATGAAAATTGTTTTCACACAATTGTGGGCTTGTTGAAGCATCCCTAAATCTATAAAAGAACTATAGAAAACTGTTCTCAAACAATTGTGGGCTTGTTAAAGAATTCCTAAATCTATAAAGGAACAATACAAAACTGTTATCAAACAATTGTGGGCTTGTTGAAGCATCCCCAAATCTATAAAGGAACTATAGAAAATGTTCTCAAACAATTGTGGGCTTGTTGAAGCATCCCCAAATCTAAAAAGGAACTGTAGAAAACTGTTCTAAAACAATTGTGGGCTTGTTGAAGCATCCCCAAATCTAAAAAGGAACTGTAGAAAACTGTTCTAAAAAAATTGTGGGCTTGTTGAAGCATCCCCAAATCTAAAAAGGAACTGTAGAAAACTGTTCTCAAACAATTGTGGGCTTGTTGAAGCATCCAGATTCATAGTAAACATCATAAGAAATCCATATATATATGTATTGGATGTTACAAATTTTATTTTGAAAATTAAATATTAGGACAATCCATTAATACAGGTGAAAAGTAAAGTCCAGATGAAGGACAGCAATTAAAGCTTCATCCTTTGATATACATGTACTTGATATTTCATATTCTAATATAGGTGCTGAAAAGTCATATGAATATAGCCCTGGTAAAATATTCAAATGTACTGCAATATGGGAAGGCTATTGTAACTTGTTCCTTTCACTAAATTTTTTGGAGCTCATGGTGAAATTTTTATTTTTAATGAGGTATGTGCGCGGTAAAACATCCAACAAACAATGGGCTGCCATTGTTTGCTTCTCATTTACCTCACTTCCAAAATAAACTTCTGAAAAATGAATAAATAAAGCTTTTTTTGCTACGGTAATCTCTAATTATAAAAACAGAAGTTTTATTGTAACTTCAATGTTGGCAAATAATGTCTGAAGTGTTAAATTGAATTACAAACACTTATAAAAATCCTTTAAAATAAGGACAACAGTCCTCAACACAATTCTATCTAAACAGCACTTTTGTTGTATCACTACAAAGTGTCTTCTTTTTTTATCAATACCTTTGTGTAATTTATTATTTTCTATACAAAAGACTAAAGTTCAAATGGAACGTAGTAGTTTCACAACAGTCATAAAGAATACCTATCAGACTTGAATACCAAGGCTTTATGATGAATAATGGCGAGTTATATCAACCACATAAGGACATAAGAACTTTTAAAATGAAAACATCTAGATCTTTAAAAAAAATTTCAAGGCATGCAACACAGATGTAATGTAACATTTTTTTTTTTCCAGTTGCATGTACCCAATAAATTACATTCATGCAGAGACCAACATGTTATACAAATTATATGAATTAAATGTTTGTTTATTAACAGGTGGGTGGCTTTCAAATCAATCAATCTTTAAAATTACAAGTGCATCTGAAAAGTGAAGGTCAGAATATTACTTTTAGTATTAGGTGTAACTGAAATCTGGCAAGTACTGCTGGTTCTTAAAGACCTTTTAAATGCCTACATCTAACACTAACAACTACGCTGACACGTAAAGGGTCGTCTCATAACTAGTAATAATAACCAGCACATTTTGATCCTGATTTCCAATTTTTGTACTGTTTTTTTATTCATTGTTCATGTTTGTGGTCATCCTGTAATAGTAGCTGCACTGCGTTGGTTTTTTATTGTGTGCTTTAGTTTTTTAAGCCTAAAACTGGTTTAACCCCAACCACATTTTGTTCCTGTACTAAGTGAGGTTATATCCATCATGTGTTGATCGTTTGTCTGTTTTTTTTCTTCCATGGAGTCGAATGTTGGTGGTTGATGCGGTCTGTTGTACTGTCCAGTATTTTTCAGCGATTCCTGTTATACTTTTTATATATAAGTAATTAATCATTGCCATGTCTACCAACTTGCTGATTTAATGTGAATTTTTTGCCATCTTTCAGAGTACACAAAAACCCACTCTTTGTTGCAAATATACTTAGCAGATCCAGAACAGTATGACAATGAATAATCATGTGATCTTGACCTAGAAAATCAGTAGGCTACTAGCTCTAACTATTATACTGTATGTGTATACCAAGTGTGGTGAAAATCTGTTAAGAAATTTACAGTGTCCACAAGTGTGCAACGGAAGGATGCACAAACAGTTTCAGTTACAACATCCCTTCTACAACAAAGTGCAGTCTTTCAAGGAAGACTCTCTCACCTAAATAATTATATACATAATCATATGATTGCAGAATAAACCGTTGACACAGAGATATAGGTCTCGCCTGTATGCAATTTTGATAGTAAAGTGCAACTGTTTAAATCAAAATAGCAATACTTTAACATGCATAATATGCAAAATATTTAAAATCAATGAACCATGACTGAAGGAACAAGGCCAAATAATTTCCCTGAAAATAAGATCTTCCAATACTTATACAACTGCATACCAAATATCATTGACTTTTCTGATAAGTGGTTCCCATTGAACTGACCTAATCACAAAGTGCAAAAGTTTCAAAGTTAATAGACCATGACTGAGGGGGCAGAGCCAAATAATCTCCATGGAAATGAGATATGCCAATGCAAATACAACTGCATACATCAAGGCTAGACAAATAAACCCAATAGGGATGTGAATTGATTGCAGTAAATGTTTACTTATATGTTTATACAATTCATTGTGAATTTTTTTATAAAAACGAAGAAAATATGCAAATAGGTATTTGCATGATATGCTAATACTTCTTCAAACTACAGGTAGTCTAATACTGTTGAATTGAAGATGAGTATGTATAAACAGTAGGTGTCATTATTTCGTGTTGAAAGTTATTGAAAATATCTAATAAAACTATTTCAGTGTTGTGTCTAGATCTAGAAACAAGACAAAACAAACATGGGAAAACCCAAATCATATTCATAATACTAGACATTTAGAATAAAAAAATATCAATACATTAATTATGTAATAACCTAATAAAGTATTGTTAATACTAGAACATTTGAATTCAGTGTCATATTCCTTAGTTCCCTGTTGTAAATATTTTACATGAATCATGTAATTTTGTAGGCAAGTGAACAACAACTACAGGAAATATTATTCAATAATAAATATTTATCATCAACATTATAAACAATTCTTTATCATCCATATTATAACAAAATCTTTATTTTTATCAATATTATGAGACTATTTTTAATCACTATCAATATTATATTATTATGTTCTGGACTGACCCAGACAACCAATAGAAATGAAAGGAGATGTGCAGTTCTGGACTGACCCAGACAACCAATAGAAATGAAAGGAGATGTGCAGTTCTGGACTGACCCAGACAACCAATAGAAATGAAAGGAGATGTGCAGTACACGTCTGTGCAGTTCTGGACTGACCCAGACAACCAATAGAAATGGAAGGAGATGTGCAGTACACGTCTGTGCAGTTCTGGACTGACCCAGACAACCAATAGAAATGAAAGGAGATGTGCAGTACACATCTGTGCAGTTCTGGACTGACCCAGACAACCAATAGAAATGAAAGGAGATGTGCAGTACATGTCAACCTCAACCCATTGGCACGAAAAACCTAAAAGACTTTTTTATTGTATTCAAATTTCAACCTAATATAAGCGCTGGTGCTTTGAATTGTTCTGAAAGGGGTTACAAATTGGTTATTATATACATTCAAACAAAAACTCTGGCTTCTTAAGATCTTAATTTAAGATTTTGTTCCTGATTTATACATGACATTGTTTCTTATTTTTACTGTAAATGACCTTCTTCATCCCCTTAATTCAACCTTAGGGAATAAATATTCAGTACTTTTCCTTCAATTGTAACACTTATATTTCCGATAGTGATAATGGTTTGGCTAACTTTTGGAATTTTTTTATTCTGCCAAAGAGTTTAAACTACATAATTTATTTCCCCTTCTTAAAATGTCCTAATAGGGTGTGCACTTCCATAAATTCAGTATTTATAGTTATCTACAAGTGTACAACAGTTTGAGAAATGTTTATTATTCAAATTCTTAGTATCCATACATTCGTATGCTATGTACATACCGAATTGATTGGAACTGAAGTTTTTTACAGGTAGGGGCCTCGGTGGCCGAGTGGTCAAAGTAGTTACTACTGTAATCACTAGCCAGTCAACACTGAGGTTGTGAGTTCGAACCCCGCTCGTGCGGGTGCACTTGACTCCAATCTTAATTGACTAGGATTGTCAGTTTTCCTATCGAAGGTCAGTGGTTTTCTCAGGGCACTCCAGCTTCCTCCACCAATAAAAACTGGCCGCCACGAAATAGCCCAAAAGCGGTGCTTAAAAGTGGCGTTAAAACACCAAAAATCAAATCAAATTTTTACAGGTATAAACTATAAACTGACATATAGTATTTGTAAAAAACATTTGAATTCTACTTGAACAGTTGGCAGATTTTACCTGCCATCATAGTATTCAATATATACACAGATTACAGTTTTCTGCCTGCTGTTTATATGATGCAAAACAATAACAATATACTACCATCACACCTTACAAGCTTATAGTCTCAGACACAATGTCTGCACAAAATTTCAAATCTATCAAGTATTAAAACAAAAATAGGCTATTAACACAACATTGGTAAATGCAATGCTTTTCATCCATGTTTAATTTGTAGTGATCAATACAAGGTACAAAAGATATGGGTTTCCTCCACGTGTTACAAGAT